GATCAGCCCTGAGCTAACATCCATGCCAATCCTCCTCTTTTTCTTTTCTTTTTTTGTTTTTTTGTGTTTTTTTTTTTTTTTCTGAGGAAGACTGGCCCTGGGCTAACATCCATGCCCATCTTCCTCCTCTTTATATGGGACGCCACCATGGCATGGCCTGACAAGTGGTGCATCAGTGTGCTTCCAGGATCTGAACCCGGGCCACCAGCAGCAGAGTGCGCGCACTTAACTGCTACGCCACAGGGCCGGCCCCTGCAATGTGAATTTTTTATGAAGCTAAATGGTCCTTTTTCCTTTTTTGATATTTAAAAAGTTCCGTTTTTCTGAATGAGTGATATTATATAGCGGTAGTTTTATTAGTGTTCTTAGTTGGCAAAATAAAAATGTAATCTTATGTTTGACCTCCCTCCTGTTTCCCCCGCTCCCCTTTTTTTCTGGTTTAGACATCTTGAAATCAAAATCTAGAAACCATTCTTCTAGGGGATACAGCTGAATGAGTCAAACTCCCATCCCACAAAATGCTTATGGCCTGGTAGTGGAGAGAATAAGACAGGCACACAAGTAATTACAGTACAAACCGTGATAGAAATATGGGCTCTAAATTTAGATGAACATTTAGGGAAGAAGTTGAAACAATCAGCTTCAACCCTTTCTCTTAACTGAGTCAAATTCTTTTCAAACGGGGAAGTGTGAACATTCTAAGGCAGTAGTTTTCAGTGGGACATTGGCATCAGAAACACCCAAAGAGCTTTTAAAAATACAGATTCATGGGGGGCTGGCCCGGTAGTGTAGCAGTTAAGTGCGTGCGCTCCACTTCGGCACCCCAGGGTTTGCAGGTTCGGATCCTGGGTGCACACCGATGCACTGCTTGTCAAGCCATGCTGTGGCGGCGTCCCATATAAAGTAGAGGAAGATGGACATGCATGTTAGCCGAGGGCCAGTCTTACTTAGCAAAAAGAGGAGGATTGGCATTGGATGTTAGCTCAGGGCTAATCTTCCTCACCAAAAAAAAAAAAAAATACGGATTCGTGGACTTCACATCTAATCTATCTTCAGGGGATGTAAAAGCTCCACAGGCAAGTCTGATCAAGTCACACCCTAAGAACCACTGATACATGGAAAAGTGTATTAACTTCCTTAGGTCCTTATACCAGTCTCAATTTTTGAATTAGAGTGTTTAATTGCCCTGTAAATTTTGGTCCTAGGGAATTTTTGCGTTTCAGAAGACTTCTAATCAAAGGGCGACAGTAAATAATCTAAAAGATTGGGTCTGCACAGTTTCGCTCTAAGTGAGATCTGTAAATATCTTCCTAAGCTTGTTGATCATTATTCATTTATGCATACAAGCTTCTTCATACTGGGTTAAACCCAAGGGTTTTTTCAGAGGGTAGGAGAAAACTTTAAAATTTTTTTAAAAAAGAAGAGTTTGTAACAGAACAGTGAGATTTAATTTTTTATCCAATTTGAAAGTAATTTATGAAATAATGGATAATATTTTGGCATAATCAGTTCTAAAAGTTATTTGTCTCTTTTTAAGGATAATAAAGCTGATGTAATTTTAAAATACAATGCAGATGAAGCTAGAAGTCTGAAGGCGTATGGCGAGCTTCCAGAGCATGGTAATGTCTGAGTTATTATATTAACCTATCATACGGTGTTACGGCCTGGTGGTATTTAGGGGAAGGAATTTTGGTGGGATTTGGTGGATTTTGCACGTTTACTTTTGTGCTTACATGATTCCTTTTAAGTATGCCTGCCTACACTTTGTAACACTAGATACCTTAAGAAAAAAGTAACTGGGATTCTGGTCCTAATAAATATACTTCTGTCACATTTGAGGAGTTATACTTTGTAAGCCACAGACTGCTGCATAACAACAGTCAAAAGAGTAATTTTGTTATAGTATTTATTTTAAAATTCCTTTCTCAAGAGACTATCTGTATTCATCTTGTGAAGCAAGGATAGTAATTAGGTACTATTGTTGATTTTTATAAAAAATGTCAGTTTTCAGTTCATCTTATCCTAGTATCATATATCCCATAGGATTTTTTTAAACCAATATTCTTTGCCCCCCCATACAAAAGTTGTGTGTTCTTTTTTTTTTTTTTTTTTTTGTGAGGAGGACCAGCCCTGTGCTAACATCCAATGCCAATCCTCCTCTTTTTTGCTGAGGAAGACTGGCCCTGGGCTAACATCCATGCCCATCTTCCTCCACTTTACATGGGACGCCACCACAGCATGGCTTAACAAGCGGTGCGTCGGTGCACACCCGGGATCCGAACCGGCGAACCCCGGGCCGCCACAGCGGTACGTGCGCACTTAACCGCTTGCGCCACCGGGCTGGCCCCTAAAAGTTGTGTGTTCTTAATGCAGAAAATTTAAATAAAACAAAAATAAGTCCCTCATAACCTCATCCAAGGGGAAATGTACTTTACATACTATTTTGTAAGCCTAATTTTTCACTTGGAAGTGATTTTTTTTTTTTTTTTTTTGGCTCTGTTACATATTATCATGAAAACAATATAATTTTACTTAAGCCTGAAAATCCTGCTGACATTATTTACTTGGCATTTCCAATGTAGGAAATGCTAATATATCTGGAAATAGGACATAGGACTGCACTTCCTGGTTCATTTTCATTGCTTAGGGTTAAGCATGATTTGACCAAATGTTTCCAATTGATGAGTTTGTCTGATGATTGGTGAGTTAGCGTGTGCTCAAACCTTGTTTGAAGCATAGCTGGAAGTTGTAATAATGCCTTCAGAATTTATGTAATTAGAGCCTGCCTTACTACAAATACCTTTGCAAACAAAAGAAAATGATAACACACTTTCCATCTTAGTGGTGACTTTGTCAGAGAACTTGTATAAAATACTGTTCTGTATAGTAGGGTTGTTAGGTAGAATTTAGGATCTTTATGATAATGAAACTTAGATGAATTAAATTATAAGTTTGACTTGCAAGAGTCTCCTTTTATAGTTCAGCATTGGGTATCAGCCTACTTCTTTTAGTGGGACAATTATTCATTTTAATAACGTCTTGATTATATTATATTTGTTATTGTTTCTTTAGCTAAAATCAATGAAACTGATACCTTTGGACCTGGAGATGATGATGAAATCCAGTTTGATGACATTGGAGATGATGATGAGGACATCGATGATGTAAGTAGATGCACCTTGCATTTTTCAACGTTTGTGGATTATCCACAGAGAAACCAGCTCTTTCCCCTAACATCATTTAATCTGAGAATATTGAACACTTAATTAAGGGTATATTTTGAGACTTATCCATGAATTAAAATATTCAGTATCATTTAGAAGACAACCGAACTGTTTACACTTTGAGAATTCTTTATAATCTCATTCAACACTTCTTCCTGAAAAGATCAGTATTTTGGTTTGGCAATATGAATGCTAGGCATTAGAATCATAGCTTGTTTAATTTTTTTTTCCCCCCAAAGCCCTAGCAGATAGCTGTACGTCACAGTTGCACATCCTTCTAGTTGCTGTATGTGGGACGCGGCCTCAGCATGGCCGGAGAAGCGGTGCGTCGGTGCGCGCCCGGGATCCGAACCTGGGCCGCCAGTAGCGGAGCACGCACACTTAACCGCTAAGCCACGGGGCCGGCACATAGCAGATAGCTATGAAGAAAGTTAGACAGTTGTGAGAAGTACAAAATCTTATCAGAGAAATATGCCTTCTCTTAATTGAAATGCTAGTATGTTAAAAGAAGAATCTTGTTTGAACCAGCTTCAGATGAAGCATTGGAATTAAAACATACATTAAAAACCTTCTTAAAATGGAGGCCTTTTGCGAAGTAAGTTATTTTATCTGTTGGATATGCACTATTGGCAGACTCTTGGTTTGGAGTTGGTCTGTTTATTTTGAGGAAAATGTCTTGTTTTTCCTAACAATAAACCAGTGATGTTCACAAGAGTAAATGCCTCATTGCCCTTTGCTGTCACAATGTTTAAATGAAATTCAAACTTAGTTTTTGGCGATATATATTTATTTAATAATTGGGTGGTATTATAAGTTACTCTCAAATCTGGTTTGGGCTGTTCTTTTCAGCCCCCTTTAAATAAAAATGTAGTTCAGAAACCTCCTATGTATAAATCTAAAAATAATAATACTAATGTTTGATTTGATTCAAAGATGAAATTTTAGTATACCTATAGCAGTTAGTTGTTCCTGACCAAGATTGTGCGACAGAATTACCAGAACTTTTCAAAAATAGAAAGACTGGTCTTGGGGAAGTCTGAGTTAGGCATCACAAGTGATACCCACCACTGATTCTACAATTAGCATTTTTTATACTTGATTTATCACATGTCTGTCTATACGTTTATTCATCCATCAATCCATCTTATATTGTGATGCATCTCTAAACCATTTAGGATACTCACACCATGAATTAAAGAAACTTTTAAGTACATATCCCCAACATATATGTGTTTATGAATGTTTAAACATACACTACTACTCTACTAATGCTATGTACATTTTTTTGTGTGTGAGGAAGATCAGCCCTGA